ACGTACAAGGTAGAAAAAAAAGGAATTTCACATTTTCGAAACAAGCTAGCCGAGTGCTTTTGAAGTCCAACAAAAACATCATATTTACTCAAGCAGCCCTTAGATCTGCATTTTAGAATAATAAAGAAGGTAGCTATAAGTGAGGAGCTCTGCAAATAAATGTACTGAAGTGGCCTGAGATGTTTTGCCGCTTTCAAAACGAACATAAAGGTATTCAGAATTGCTTGTTCTAAAGTTTTCAGTTCTAATGTAACTGAGCGCATTTACGGTAAGCGAAAATGTAAATACTTAAGAGATTTTGTAAACGGCTAAACAGATGTTGACAAGCTACATACGGAAATGAACGGCATGCAACAATAGCTATGAACGTTAGTGTTCAGGTTCTGAATATGGGTGGACGAAACATCTGCTTGAGTCGATAGACCTACTAAAAACTTTTCTCGATGAACGTTCTCACTTCGGCTTACACTTTAATTATCTTAAAATATTTATGTTCGATATTCACGTCCGTCATTAAAGATATAATAACGTAAAACTCGTAACTATCAGAAAATAAAAGTTGATGAAATACATTTATGACATTTGTTCGAATATGTTTCTTGCTGTCAACCATTTTTGGTTCTATTAAACAAGTTAACCTCACTGCAACCTAGGAAGGCAGATGTTTGTATTCCTGGTGTTGCTGTGGGTAAGAAAGGAAACTGTTTGGACATCGCAAACGTTTTTAAATTTGCCTTTGCTTGAAAATTTGTTTAGGAGTCAATCGTTAGAGGTAAAAACAGTAATGAAACAGGCAAAAATTATATCAGTGTTAACCAAAGGAACACTAGTCACGTCAGGACGAAAGTGGCTGTGTAGGTGGCTGCTCATTTCGGAAACAAGAGGGTCTGAGAATTGGTCGAAGCCTGTGTATCCGACGGGGACTACATCAGTTGATGTATCGATTTGGCGAAGGCATACGGAGCACTGTACAGTCACCTCCACGCCGTCGTGCGTAATCATTGTTTGGAAAACATCCCTGTCATGTGGCTGTTTTTAGTTCTGACAATGGGCTCTTGCACGAGTTCCAAAGCGCAAACGAACAAAAGAGGTTGCTACAGTGCTCGACTGGCCTTCTGCTTGGTTAGTACGAGCGCTCACATGAAAAGATAAATGGGTTGGGTCCGCGTAAAACGGTCTAAGAGGCTTGATATTTTGAAACTCATTTGCACTTTCTAGAGAGCTTTGCATTTTATGATTGTCATCCACCCATACTTTTATTATCAGTATATTTCACATTTTTACTTAGATCGGCAATTTTTCTTTCTAAACTGTCGCCACCGGGACAAATTGTTACAAAGATTGTTTGTACATCAGCAAAGTTGCTGTAAATTTCCTTGTTAATGCCATTTTTGATATGTACTTTGTGTGCGAAACTGCATCTGCACGGCGAAAAATGATAACTCAGATTTCTTAGATTGATCAGCCAAATTCTTTGAGATAAGTCATACGGTGTCGGCCGTCAGTGGTATAGAGAGGATGTTAATAGAGACAG